AAGCAGGTCACGGAGATGAGCACAAGTTTGATAAATGTTTGTCCTGTAGCTAATCTCACATAATTCATGTGTATTTCACAATGCAAAATGCTTTAAATGTGGTGAAATTGGACACATGAAGTCAGTTTGTAATATTACTGTTCATTTCACTGCAAGTGTGGTGTATGCTACTTATGTCCACATAAGTAGTATTTAACGCTAGCCAGAAATAGAATGTCTAGTAGCAGAAGGTTGAGAAGATCGAGGAGGAAAGAACGAGAACAGAAAGCAGTTGGTGAGAAAATGCAGGAACAATGAGGTCTGAGACAATTAATGAACATTTGGCATACGAAGTATTGGAATGTGGTTTTTCTATTTTATTAAGTAACTCTGTAATTTTGTGCTTTATATGATAGGTTGTCCTTACCGATGTTCTCTTCACTATACAAGTAATGCTAAACTTTGTCATTCAGATCCCATTAGTTTGGTTAGTTTTAATGATCATATATTGTCCATGTTTACAATTTCCAGTAATTTACTTCATATTCAGAAACGATTTTACCTGTCCAGTGGTTCTTTTCATGATTTTATTGTTGATACCTGCAGTATTAAGTCCATCATTTCGGTTGGGAAGTTGAAGCCATTAAATCCTGATGCTACAATTGTCCATACCAAAGATTCCTATGTTACGGAAATTCCTAGTTAATACAATACTTCGAATGCTTCTAATCGTCATAACTATTTATTTAAGAACCCCTTTCTCCTGCAGTGTGCTCGTGACACGAAAATTTCACTAAGCTTGCAATAAAAAATTCTTTTATATTCTAACCTAATTGACGATACTCTAACGGTGGTTGGATTCACATCAACAGAAAGTCAACATTTTGTGTAGCGAAGATTTGTTTCTGTACCCACACAAACCATACGGATTTTCAACCAAACGCGCAAGCAAGTACTATAATTTTTAGTATCCAAAGTAATTTACTAAGTAGAAATTCCCGAAATAGTGCAATTTATAGCAAGTGAAACTAGATGGACACAAATGAACGTATTATATTTGGAATCTGTAATCAGCGGGCAATTCAGTACAAGGGAATCGTTAGTTCGTACAAATACGACAGTAAGCCAAGGGCACAGAGGAAGAGAGAGGAGTATTCATGAACAGTCTCGATGTGTACAAGCAAACTGAAAATGGGGAGTTGCCGTATTTTGAAAGGTAAGCTCAGAAACGTACTACTGGACTACTACACCATTGTCAAAATATCAACACACTCTTTTTTAAAGGTCAAGGGCTGAATTTCAAAATCACCTCATGGTAGCACCCAGATTGAAGTATGTGGCGTCCTACTTATGTGTAAGGCATCCTCATTTAACAGTTATGTATTAATTTTTACTTCCCTCAGTCACCGCAGTCATGGAGAAAGCTGTAAATAGATCCCCCCAGAGCCATATACTTAAATAATCTCGTTAAAGCACAATGGTCCTTATGAGCCGAGTCTTCTTTTTATCACTCATAGTCTGAGATTATATCAGAATTCGAGATATATAAGCGGTGTTTGGAGTACAATTTATACCGAAAAACAAAAATACCTCGGCAATGTCTCTCCCCTACAATGCTGTCGAGTTTTCCTCCGATACAAAATAAAGTACTGCACTGCGGACCCTGCAGTTACCTTCTTGTATAATCCTACTTTCTTGTAGTAATACAGCCTCAGATTCACTTTACCATTTTCGGAAAGGGTATGATGAACAGGAAACAGTTTTTAAGCTGCTAAAAATAATTATTTTCATCTGACAGGATGAAGAATCATTGATACAGATGCTGATAAATACTATGCAATTTCTGGCAATATAGACAGACGGGGAGAAATATGAAGCAAATATGAGAAGCCAAGCTTGCCAACTTGATTCGATAAAGCGTGATTCCCTAGTAATGGTCAGACTAAAAAATGAGCTAAAGATAAGTGAAAAACATACATAAGATCATATAAAAACGGTCAAGTTCAAATGAGAATGACTGACAAGGTTAAAATAGAGTGAATAACGACTCGGAAAGAACACACTAGTTGGTCTACAGGAAAGGCTAAAATAACTAGTGTTGGCGTGACAGAGTGCTCGATACAGCCACCGTAACCAAACTAGACTTATGACTACCATCCTTCTCTGAATAAACATCTTTCTAATCTCACATACAATGAGATATACCGCTCTTGACATCCATCATCTTCCTTTTCGTTTTCCTTCAGGGCACTTTCTTACATGAGGAACCTGAAAAATAATAGTGTCTAATTCTGATTTATATAAAGTTATCTTCTTACAAAAAGACATGGTATATAAAGAGGGAAATTATCCAGATTTTACCACTTACTTTGATTATGAAAACCAAGAGTGCTGGTTGGCCGTTGCATTCTTATGATACCTGTGTGTACATAAGTGACTGACATCTAGAAGAATTTCCATAGTCTTGACATGAATCTGTGTTAGGTGGTGACCAAACATGTAAGGTGTTAATCTAAATCCATAAGAGTGAATCAACCAAATCATCTGACTTAAACGCCCACCAATTAAGACTCATTTAATCTCAAACTGGCTTCTATCATGATTCGTTTTATTTAACTACCAGTCATGTAACTATACCAGTTTTTATATAAACATGACTAATCCTCCCATTGACCCATTTTGCTATACAACTTCTAATGTGTTGGTAGGTTTATTTTTATAGTCCTTTTTGTAACTGGCTGTGCTACTTTGTGTCTTTATGCTAACTGCATTAAATTACATTTTAGAGGCCGATCATAATTATTGTTCGCATACATAATTGCCAGTTTTGATGATAGTCCTCCTAAGACATTATGTGCAACAGTATAGGAACTTATTCAGGAAATTTATCTGCTGGCAGAATAAATCCCACACTAGGTATAAAATAGATATCAAGAATGTAGATCACTAGATTCTGACTTAATGATATGTTATATTGGTCAAAATGAACCATATTTCTTGTTCAATAACTTTTGGGGTATATGTGATCAGACCGTATAACAGGAGAGCAGTTGTCTTGAGATAGTCCTAAAAATTTTTTAAATCCACCTAGACTGTCTATTTAATACTGCTGACTTTTGGCTAACCATTAACACAGCAGAAAATTACACATAACGACTATTAGTCCAGAATGTAGCTTCCGACACTTGGTCGTCCGATAGCCAGAATAGACCAAAACTCAGCACGCGAATAACATCTAATCATGCATACAACAATATAGAGCAAAAAACGGTCATCAACATGATTTAAACAATTTACGATGTGGCACTAATACAGCAGAAGTAAAAGCGGACTGAGTAACTGGTCCGTAATATACTAATGATAAACCGGGAAAGATAAAACATAACAATAGTTTATGAGTCGACCTAAAGCTTATAAGCAAAGAAATACAAAAGTAAAATGGTTTAAGTATTTAACAATTACACATTTAAAAATATATAAACAGTAACTTCAGACTAGAATATTTCTAAAGTTCAACTTTCTTTAATATTTGTCTAACATAGAAGATATAGAGTTATAATAGGCGCTCGATTGTCTAGAGTTCAATCCTTGAAATTGTCATAGGTTTGCACATATCAATAGCCTTAAAGTAAAACATAACATATATTCACTACCCTAGTTTTTAATATTTCTTCAATTGATCTCAACATAAGATATAAATGAAACCCTTAATTTACATATAATCACAATGGAAAAAATATCAACCAATGAAACTGATTAAAACAAACAGTTTTTATTAATCCAATATTTCTAAAATTATCATGATATAAACTCATACGAATACTTTAGGTTTTGGTCATTGGATTATCATAATTTCATACTGATTATTATCCGTCATTCACATAGTTAAGAGTTTAGTCTACTCACTTATTGAGTCATTAGTTCACATCTTTTTGTGTTCCACTTCGATTCAGATCTTCACATTCAAATTAATTTAGACACTTCTCATCTCTCCAGTACAGACAGTACTATACTAAATACTACTACTACTACTACTACTACTACTACTACTACTACTACTACTACTACGACGACGACGACGACGACGACGACTCCAGCACAGACAACTACATTCACGTTATGAATTTTAATTTGGAATTCGCAGATGACCTAGCCGTCCTATCACATACACACGAACAAATGCAGATAAAGACAGCCAGTGTAGCAGCAGTCTCTGCATCAGTGGACCTCAGTATACACAAAGAGAAAACCAAGGTCCTCAAATTCAAAACTAAGAACAGCAATCCAATCACTCTTGATGGCGAAACTCTAGACGATGTAGAATCCTTCACATACCTAGGAAGCATCATCGATGAACAACGAGGTTCAGATGCAGATGTAAAGGCGAGGATCGGCAAAGCAAGGGCCACATTCCTTCAGTTGAAGAATATATGGAACTCAAAACAACTGTCAACCAATATCAAAGTCACAATCTTCAATACGAACGTCAAGACAGTTCTACTGTATGGAGCTGAAACTTGGAGAACAACCACAATCAAGAAGGTACAAGTATTTATAAATAGCTGTCTACGCAAGATACTCAACATCCATTGGACGGATACCATCAGCAACAGCCTTCTGTGGAAGAGAACAAACCAGTTTCTAGCTGAAGAGAAACTTAGAAAAAGACGACGGAAATGGATAAGACATACACTACGTAAATCATCAAACTGCATCACAAGGCAAACCCTAACTTGGAATTCTGAAGGGAAGCGGAAAAGAGTAAGGCCAAAGAACACATTACATCAGGAAATAAAAACAGATAATGAGAAAGATGAATAACAACTCAAAAGAGTTGGGAAAGGATTGTCCAGTACAGGGTTAGATAGAGAATACTAGTGAGCGGCTTATGCTCCTTCACGAGGAGTAATAGGCGTAAATAAGTAATATTGTCTAAATAAAAATCTATTCAAAACAAACAAAAGAAATAACACACTTAGATTAAGGGATTAATATTAAACAATAAAAAAAGGTTAGTTTATTTACAATTTAATATCATAAGAATTTGGTAAATATATAAGAAATACAAAAATTGATATTATTGTTGTAATTAAATACACTTGAAATAATAATCTATCCACTACTCTAGCAATATATAACCAACGTCTAATGTTTACTTCTTTTGAATATTCTTCATTTGTAACTATGGTTGGATTGTATAGATCAGTATTATTATTATTATTATTACTATCAGTGATAGGATCATTACTGTTATGTAATCGTTCATGTTCATTCAAATCTCTTTCATCTATTATACTTTTTCTATAATCTCCTTTATATGGCTTATATGAAATATGATCATTATCTATATAATTGTTATGGTTACAATTAAGATGAGTAGAATATTGATTCATTTTTTTATATGGTATCATTGCTAAATAACCAAATATACCAATTATAAGACGCCATAATAATGGATGTGGTGTTGGACATGGTTCATTTTTACTACGTCTATGTATATGTAATACTATGGTAGCAAATATTAATGATATAGAATTTAATGTCATAACCATTGTAAGAAATGTACCAATTAATGGTGTAGAATTTGATTCCGGTGTATTCTCTGCAATCATGACCTGTAACATAAAACAAAACAAAAAAAAAGACGTTTAAGGGAATATAAATTTAAAGATCATAAGGTACTGAATCATTTTGTGGTATAGATTTCATTTTAGCTAAGACTTTAGGTGATGAGATGGAGATGATTTGTAGCTCGAATGGACGATTTTAATGAAGTTTTGTTCTCCTACCTGAATGATTTAGTTATGGAGTTCTCATCTTTCCTCTTAACGACATCATCATCAACACAAATTTTAGGTAGAAGTGAAGTGTTCGAATTTCTCCACATATAGTTCATAGTTGAGAATGTCATTCAAAAGAACAATGAAATCTCACAACTAACCCGGTTGAACTCCACTGATCATTGCTTCTTACTAGAACTCTAGGATATACCTATTGGAGGACATCACTAGTGAACATATGATGATTATAATCAGAGAGGGTTAAAGTTCTACATTAACACCGTTAGTTGCCGACCAGCTCAGTGATCTACGGGTTAAGTGTTCGCGCGCAAAACTGATATGTCCTGGGTTCAAATCTCATGAGGTAGAATCGTGGATGCGCACTCCTGAGGAGTCTCATACTACGACGAAATAACCATCCAGCGCTTTTAGATTTTTCATGGTGATCGAGCTTTGACCGGCTCATGAATTCAACTATTAAAATAATTCTAAATCTTCACACTAGTTTACAACCCTTATTTGATCCTAGTTGTTAGGTAGATACTCACAAGGTCACTTCAGTATCATTCAATGATCATTCATAAAGTATAGTCTCAACGGAAATACTATAAGTTATACATTAATATTATTCATTTTTATATGTCAGAATGTTTTCCTTTCAAAGATAATTTATTGCTATGACTACATGTTCATAAATTAGAATACTCATTATTATCATCATAATAAATATAATTCACTCTTATGTTAATCTCTATGATAGAAATTATTATCCTTACTGACAATAAGAATGTAATTACAATTTACAATCCAATTCAACAACTTAATAATCTCACTGGGTGAAATCACCGGCTTTGGACGGCCGTTCCTTCCCAGTATGGGATTCCTCAGTAGCGCGCACCCACGATCCCTCACCCTACGAGGTTCGAACCCAGGATCTAGCAGCCTCGCGCGTGAGCACTTAACCAACTAGACCACTGAGCCGGCACCCAACGGTGTTGATGTCTAACTTCAACCAATCCACAAAGTTGCGCCACCGTACACCATTGTCTTCAGTGAGTTGATATCTCACAACAGACCTCGTTGAACTCCACTGGTTAGTGCTTCTCACTAGAACTCTAGGAGTATCTCTTGAAGTCAGTCACTAGTGAACAGATGATTGAAGCTAGACCACTCATGATTTCAACCAGTGAAATTTCTAAAATCACCACAAAACCCCTTCTGATAATTTAAATGATCATTCTAATCTAAAACTACTTAATTAGTAGTAGTTAAATGATAATTAAAAAAAAGAAAAGAAACGGAAATCAAATTTATGAATTACTTGTAGAAAATATAAAAATAGAAATACTGTTAAACCCATATCGATTTTTTTCACATTTCCACTTGGTAACCAAAAACTGAATACTGTTAATATACATAATAATATACTTGGTGCAATCACTGTATAAGTATAGAATATAGCTCGTCTATAAATATGTATTCTTAAGTTAATCTATAAAAAGAAAAATAGAATTAGAATATATATAACATAATAATAAATATTTATTGAATTATTAGTAATATGCATATATATGTATTTGTTATAATCCTGATAAGCATAATGAATGGTAATCATTTAGGATCCATTTATGAATCAATACTATACGTATATTGTTATTGTATAATTCCGCCTGGAGTCCCTCCGAGGGCTACTGCCGGTCCCAAGCCTGGATAAAGGAGGAGGGTTGGGCATGGGGTTAGCGACCCCAATCCCGTAGAAAACTAACTAGCTAAAAAAAACGCTAACCAGAAAAAATTAGAATACTGATCGGCAGCCTATGCTCCATTGGGAGTAACAGGCGTAAGTAAGTAAGTAAGTAAGTAAGTAAGTAAGTAAGTAAGTAAGTAAGTAAGTAAGTAAGTAAGTAAGTAAGTAAGTAAGTAAGTAAGTAAGTAAGTAAGTAAGTAGCAACTAAACTATTCATATTCGTGCCCCTCTTATTATGAGCTTCATTTTGATCTATGAATGATTATTATACGATTGACCATTCTTGAATTATGCCCTGTCTATCAATTACTATCTCCCACATTCACAGCCACATTTCGCCAATCTTGCACAAATGTTGTTTTCTATTTTATGGTACGATGTGATCTGTTTGATTGGTATATAAACCCAGTATGTTTGAAATAAATGGTTCATATCGTGGAGGCTGAGATTGGTGTTCTAGACTTAACAGGCTGGGTTAAGCAGGAAGTAGGACTGATAAGGACTCTAGACTCCTCGATATATCACTAATCTCCAATTGACGGTATCATCACATTATACATTAACAGGGCACACAGGTCACAAGTTATAATAGTATTATTTGAAGTTCTAATGTAAAAATTGACCTATCTAAAATCGTGACTGTACCTTAGCAAGGATGGTCATTCTAATATATGGTGAACTGTGTGAAGTTGATGATTTTTAGATGAATTGGATACCTACAAGGTGGTTGAATGATATGACTTTTGATCTGAAACTTTAGACACCTAGGAGTACACAGTGAAATCTCAAATGATCTGAAAATAGAAGATCAATATTCTTCGATTTTCAGTGATTCCTTCATTTAATATTAATCTATCGTTGAAATAATAAGACTGATAAGTTGGAGTTAGGACGAAAAGCACAACCTTGATTCTTCTGTTAACAAATATTTAATAATTTCAATCGTTTACATCATGAAGCCAGACCACCATGGAGTACCTGGAAGCACTGGACAGCCATTTCGTCCTATTGTAGAACTTCTCAGTAGTACATATCCAGGATATTTAATAGTTACGATAAAGATTCATGTTTAGTTCTTTGAAAAAATTTTTCTAGAAGCCAAGTAGATTATCGAAAGTACTTTGATCAATCAATATTCTTCAGAAAAGTTTAAATCTGTCTTTATAACTGACAAATTCACCCAAAGCTGATGGAATCTGACGATCTCCCTTCGTTTTGTGTTTGAAGCTCAAGTATGGAAGAATATCAAAGTTAATAATAGGCCTACTCAAATATAAAACACTTAAACCCTACAATAAATTTGGGCAATGCAGTGTGAAGATAAAGGTTATCAGAATTATGTGATATATTGATCAAGTACATTTTGAACAATCTGATCATCATATATATGAAAAATTAAAAGGTCAACTATACAAATTAAAAGGTAAGGGGGAAATAAGAATAATAACAATAAAGTTTTTGATGGAGTTTTGTTCTGTGAGTTGGATGGTTTAGTCGAAGAGGTTTCATCGTTCTTCTGAACGACATCATCAGCACAAACTTCAGATAGAAGTGTGAAGTATTCGAATTTCTCCGTCAAGGTGTACAGAACAAGCTGTGAAACGTATATAGAGAACTTCAAACACATCAGCTCTATCTGAAGTTTGTGCTGATGTCGTTCAGAAGAACGATGAAACCTCTTCGACTAAACCATCCAGTTCAGAGAACAAAACTCCATCAACATTATCCATCTGAGCTACAAATCTTCTCCACCATAACAATTAAGTATATAACATGAAAAATAATATGAAAATTACGTTGGATAATAGATCACTGTTACCAGTGTAGGTTAAGGGTAAGAATGAATTGTTTTTGATTATGCAAAGATGATTTCAGTATTCGTATAACCAATTTTTCAATAAACCTTATTATACGCCCTTATAACCGGTCTTAACCGAATGTTTCTCAATAGAGGAAGATATTTGTATATTCTATGATTTTATCTGACCGTTGGAATAGTTTCTCATCTAGTCACATATTGAAACGAAGACTGACATGAACTATCAATGGGATATTTTATGCACTCAAACTCGTCGTTATCGAAAAGTCAAGGTTTATGTTTCACCAAAAATCCAAACAGTATTTGAACGATTGTGTTATATCTCATTTCGTCTATAAAGTTACATGAATCTGGAGAAACATGTACATAGGTAGGAGCAATCGAGTGCTATCAATAAGGGTAATCGTACATATACCTAAATAGCTACAGAAACAAATGAATTCCAATGGTCAAATAAGATTACACGATAGACAAATATCTTCTTCCATTAAGAAACATTTGATTGAGACCGGTTATAAGGTTGATATCAAGGACGTATACTAAAGTTTAATGAAGCTTTGGTTATACGAGACAATTCATTCTTACCCTTAACCTACACTGGTAACAGTGATCTATTATCCAATGTGATTTTCATATTGTTTTTCATATTATATACTTTATTGTTATGGTGGAGAAGAAGGAGTTTTATTCTCTGAGCTGGATAGTTTAGTCGAAGAGGTTTCATCGTTCTTCTCCATCGAGGTGTACAGAACAAGCCGCGAAACGTATATGGAGAAATTCGAACACTTCACACTTCTATCTGAAGTTTGTGCCGATGAGGTCGTTTAGAAGAACGATGAAAGCTCCACGACCAAACCATCCAACTCACAGAACAAAACTCCATCAAAAACTTTATTGTTATTATTCTTATTTCCCCCTTACCTTTTAATTTGTATAGTTGACCTTTTAATTTTTCATATACATAATGATCAGATTGTTCATAATGTACTTGACCAATATATCACATAATTCTGATAACCTTTATCTTCACATTACCTTATCCAAATATAAAATAGTTCTTTATACGTAAAGATTGATAGTGGTCCTATTTAGGACTTGTCAACTGAATGTATCTGCATCTCATAGTTGATATTCACTTTGGGACTCGAATCCAGTACACTACCATCCATTTCAAACACCATCATATTATCCACTTAACTACTAAATTCTGTTAGCCATCTGTTTGTACGCAGGGGTAAAGTTGTAAATTCACTTATCCTATTACAATTCATGATGTTATATCAATAAAAAATAAAGAAGATGATTTACTTGAGTAATATTTTGTCCACCAACAGTAATGCGATAATCTTTAAACAATTTCAATTCTGGTACAGCTAATTCAACATTTTCAATTAATTTATTTAACATAATTGTTGTATTCATTGGTATAATATTTAATTGTAATTGACTTTGATCATATATCCATGATGCTAATTGTATATTACATAATTGATGATCAAATGGAAAATATAATACATCAACATTACAAGAACTACGTATACTAACTGGTAAATTCCAAGTTACTTCACCTTCATAATCAATAATAGAAAAGATAGAGAAAAGAGAAGAAAATTCGTTCATTTACCAAAAGAAAATATGAATAAGATCATGAGTCAAATGAAGCTAGACTATCATGGAAAACTTGGAAGCATTGGATGACCGTTTCGTTCTATTGTGGGACTTTGCAGCAGTGCACATCCAAGATCCCGCCTGGTGGGATTCGAGACCAGGATATATTAGTCTCGCGCGCGAGTGCTTAATCAACTAGACCACTGAGCCGGCTTTTTCTTACTAGTATGAGACTGTCGATAAGCAGTGCATATCCACAATCCTTCACAAAGGACTCAAACCTAGGACTTTCAATCTTGACCGCGATTATTTAATCTGTAAACCATTGAGCCTATATCCAATGATGTTCATGTTTAACGTCAACCAATCCATTATACTGTGTAACTATCCACCATTGTCTTAAATAACTAACTGCCTCCTGCGTGTGCGATCGTGTGTGGATACGCACTGTTGACAAGTTCCATACTAGGGACAAAACGGCCATCCAATTCATCCAGATTTTCCATGATGATCTAGCTTTTATTGACCTATGAATTCAACTATTAAATTACTACAATCTATACAAAACTCCATTCTGATAAGAATGAAATAGTTTGAAAAATAAATGTTATGATAGACATATGGAAAATGGGACGAGAAAAGTGGATTCTTTGAATAACAGGTATCAATTAATTCTGAAGTTCAAGATCTAAGTGAAGTAAATGAGTGAATATATATGTGAGCCATTGTAACCACTTTTATTTCTTATCACTCAGTGTCTCAAACCATTCGTTAGGATAATCATGCTGACCCGAAACAGATAGTCTCCATCTGCCTAAATGACCCAGTTCAACATTCATGGACTGATGACACATCTTAGTTTGACCACCTCTAGCCCATTTCTTACTTACTCGTACACTGATTAGTATCATGTGCTAAGGTAGTTGGTGATTGAACAGACATAATATATATCGCAACAACTTCAACTGATAGACATTTCACAGCCTCATAAGCTGATTTATCATTTTTACCTGCTATCCTGTGTCTAACGACAACATTGCTAACTTAATACACTCAAAATAAGTCATTAATGTTTAAAATACATTTTTATATATCAAATGCTAGTAACACACAAATATCCTTCAATTTCATAAGCCACGTCTCATAGCTGTGAAGTGGAACAGAGTGAACTACCATGAAATATACTCGTTCTTTGGCTGGAAGATGAGCATCTCACCTACAACACAAATGAAATAACTTAGTAAAAGTTAACTGATCTTTCTGAACAAATGGTGAGACTTTGTTAGTTACCAACTCATTAGGGGTGATAAAACCTCTAAGACGAGTAGATTAGTCAACGAGTTCAACTATTTCACTCCCTATGACCAGTCTAGGCGACGATGTAGATCGGTCCTTAAGCAACACTTTACATTTATAAGCAATCAAACTCATACTAAATACTCTTATACTGTTACTCAATACGATTAGAAGATTCTGGATTTTATTACTATCTTCGATAAACAGAACTATATCATCTGCAAGTCAATAAGTGAATCCTCTAGTACGAGAACTATCCAATAAAGAGTCAAACTTTGTGGTATAAAGTAACAGTCTTATTTCAAGACTATAAGATCCTAAGTTTGAGTCCTGGTGTTGGGGAGGGTATGTGTGTGAATACTGCTAAGAACTTTACTCGTAAGACATAACTATATGCCGTTCGTACATCGATAGGATGTCAACTTAAAAAAGAATTAATAGTTCCTGGTTGATGCATTTGATTGCACTGATGCATATGAAAAAAACGTACTACCTAAACAATTTTTTGAACTAGAAACCTTAAAACAAACGTATATTACCTAACTGTTCTCTACATTTAATATTACTGTGGTGTATGCTACTGATGTTGACAAATATAAATAGTATGTATCACGAATCAAAAGGGAAATGCCCAACAGTAGAAGATTAAGCAAATTGAAGAGAAGAGAACGGGAATAGAGGGTGATTGTTGTGGAAGCGAAGGAACAATGAAGTCTGAGATGATTGTTTGGCATTTTGCAAATGAAGTATTTACTGTATGGTTCTCAGATTTTACCAAAATAATCTGTAATGTTGTATTCAAATACATTCGATCGTCCACACTTATGTTCTCGTTCAATACACTACTTTTCGTTACATTCGAAATCGTTTTTCATCGGACTAAATGATTTTATCTTATGTTCTAATGATTCTTTGAAATTGCTGTTGATGATTAGTTGATAGTGTCATTAAAATATTGGTCACAATAATCGTTTCCAATGAACATAGAGAATGCTTGACTGCTATTATGACAAATGACTATACCCCCAAATGCCCTGGTATGGCCGAGAGTGGGGAGAATTTGCTCTCTCCCTCTCTCTCTCTCCCTCTCGAAATGCTCTCACATGGCCACGCGTATATAGCCTCTGTCAGGGAAGTCCTACTCACTGCCTTCTCGTGGCGGAGGTGTTGTTTACGAAAATGAGAGGACGAAAAGCGAATGTCCGGCGCTTTAACCGGATTCCAAACCAAACCAATGGTGCACATGGGCTCCAGTATCCTGAGGGAACAAATGGCGTATGAACCAATTGTTGGTCACCGGCTTCCATGGGACTGCATCTCCTTACGATGCTCCACTGCGTTGTGGATCAGACCTTTAGGTCAAAGGTTCGGGGAGTGGCCCCCTAAGGAAACCACCTGCTTCGGTTTGGGCACCCGGACAGTATCACAGCCCTCACACATATCGAATGAGATTTGTGTGGCGCATATGTATTTGGTGCCTCCTTGTACCAATATCTATGTGTTAAATAAATACCTTTTAAGCTTTACATGAACTTATAGCTATTGTTTCGGTACAGTATGCTCAACACTCAACACTACAATCTCATAAATGCATCAAGACTCGAGCCATCGACCATCAATTTCAAAGGGGAGTGTGTTGTCTTTAACCAATTCAGGGCAAATCGAATGGCTCTAACTGTATAAAACTTTACGGGAATTAAATTAATGTATTTCTACTTAGGTATTGGTAAATGACAATTCTATCTTGCTGGTTTATATGGAAATATGTGCGTATAGATTATATTCTTATTAGTTGCTATATCCCGTTAAGTTTATGGAGAATCAGGAGAGAGATGTATTAAGTCAATTAGCTTCACCCAATTTTCGAAACAGTTACCATTGAACTCCCTCTAGAATGATGAACTAAAAATTGATTTTCCACAAATTGATATTTTTGCCTGATAAATATCCATTCGCTTCGATCTGATTAACCCAGATACTACAATCAAATAAGCGCTAACTTTTTTCAAACATCATTGTCTAATATGTCTTAAAAATAGGATTAGTGGCTCATGAGATTATTGTAAGTAAAGACTAAAGACACAGGTTTGAAGATTGAAAACACGTAACAGATCTTTCAAGTCATACAGTCAAATGACTTTGTATCATTAACTGTTAAAGTGGAATTTGAATAAATTCTGAATAGTTCATAAAATGTGATCATGAGTGAAACACGAAGCCTCCAAATGTCCTGGTACCACCGAGAGTGAGGAGAGTCAGTTCTCCCTCACCAAATGCTCTCACATGGCCAAGCGTATACAGCCACTGTCAGGGAAGTCCTACTCACTGCCTTCTCATGACATTACTGTTGTTTACGAAATTGAAAGAACGAAAGGTGAATGTTCGGTACTTCAAACGAGTTGGTGAACACAGAGAGTCCACATAGGAGAGTTGAAAAACCCTAATTCAAAACCAGTGTTGCACATGAGTTCCAGTATCCTGAGAGAACACCTGGCATTTGAACCTATTGTTGGTCACCGGCTTCCATGGGACTGCATCTCCTTACATTGCTCCACTGCCTTATGGATTAAACCTTTAGGTCAAAGGATCCGGGTGTGACCACTTAAGAAAACCAGCTGCTTCGATTTGGACACCCAGGCAATGTCACAGCCGTCATACAAATCATATGATTTATGCGGCACATATCTATTTGGTACCTCCTTGTAACAATGTTTATATGTTTAAATAAATACAAACTAATGACTTTGATGAACAATTTCATGACTATTGAAACAATATTTATATTCACAATTCATATTAACTATTCAATTGATGAGATAACCTTCATAAACATTAAAAATAAATTATCAATTTAGTGGTTATGGAGATTGTTAAGCTTTTGATTGAAATCATGAACCGATTGATGGTGTTAGACCATCACTGAAAACCTGGAATCACTATTGTAGGACTCCTCAGCAGTGCACATCCACGATCCCGCTCGCAGGATTCCAACCTATCACCTTCAGTCTCGCGCGTGAACACTTAACCTACTGGACCAGTGAACCGACCGGCATCCAATGGCTGTTCATGTCTAACCTCATCATGACCCTATACAAAATGTACACTATAAAAAAAATACTCCACCACCACCACCACCAAAAAAGCTTACCTTTCTGACTAACTCGTACTCGACTATGTGATACATCTAATAAACCATTCTTTCCATCATCTGCATTATTATATACATATAAATCTGGTGTCCATATACGTGATGATGGTAATACAAGACTTGGAAAATAAGTTTTTAATTTATTAGTAGTATTGTTTCTATGATATAAATCATATAATTGTAACATTCTTAATTGAATTGTTTCATCAATCCATTTCAATTGTATTAATAAAGATGTATGTAAGATTTGATTTTTCTCATCTAAATCAATAATTTGTTTTAATATAATACATAGAAATATATTTAATGTTTCATTACCATATTGAATTGGTCTACTAGCTATTTCATAATTAGATAATAATTGTTTAATTAATAATTGTTCTGATAATTCATAACATTGACAATCATAATTATATAATAATAAGATTAATTGAATAATGATCAATAACTTTAACATAATTGATGATAAATGGAAATGGAAATCTTGGTCAAATCATATTGAATATCGAATGATGATATGATACACTCTCCCCTTTGTTTGTTTGTTTTTATACAAATAATCAATCAGAATTGACCAATCACAAATTGACTTACAACATTTTTAATTTGATTGGTTCATTTGATTGAAATAAAATGATTGGTTTATCCTGTTTATTTAAGATTATTGATTTCCGATATTATTATTATGATGATGATTATTATGAATAATTATGAAAATAGGAAATTTCTGCAATAACAAACGATCAATAATAAGATTTTGTTCTATTTATAGAGAATAATTTATTGTATAGGCAATAAAAAAGGGAAAGAAAGAAAAGGATCCGATTAAAATGTTTTCTATAAAACATTAAAGAAAGATGGATGGTGGTAGTTGGGAGTGTGGTGAGATTATAATTTATAAAAAGGAGAAATTTCCTTTCAATTCGTTTTTTTTCACTATGTATTTGTACTAATCTATATTGACATGATATTGATTTAGTTGGACCAACTTGACTTTTCAATGGTTGAGATGATGAGTCCATTGAAGTTAGACCACAATGGAAAATTTAGAAGCACTTTACGGCTGTTTCTTCCTATCGTGAGACTCCTAAGCAGTGCACATCCATCATCCTGCCTCGCGAGATTCCAACACAGGAGCATTTAACCACACTAGACCACTGGGCCGGTCGACATCCAACAGTGTTAATGTTTAACTCCAACCAACTCACGAAATTGAGCGCCACCATCCATCATTGTCTTCAGTGAGTTACTATCTCACAACTGACCCGGTTAAAATCCATTAGTCACTACTTCTCACTAGAACTCCAAGATATAACCTTTTGAAGCCAATCACTAATGAGCAGATGTTGATTCAAATCAGAAGGGTTTTTTGTAGATATTATAGTAATTTCAACGGTTGAGATCATGAGTCAATTGAAGCTAGACCATCACTCGATTTTGATTAAGGTTAATATTCTGCCTTGTTCCTGTGAATTGTTGAATAATGTTAATTCGGCTACTTGTTTACTTTGAAGAAGTGACTTATGCTAAGTTACTAAACGTCAAAAATTCAAATGTATACCCTACTGAATATCACAAATATAACATTATTGTATTGTGATCATTTTATATTCAATAGGTAGCTGGAACGTAACTTTACATAGCTTAATTCGTTCTATTTGACAATCTTCAACTGGACTTACTTCTCAGCATATTATGTCTTTTGTTTTTTACTTCGACAGAAAACATATTAAGAGCAGTAATACAGGCACATCTAACTGACGAGTAATAAAGAAGATTGCTAGGGTTGAAGCTATCACGAGTTCACTTAATCTGCGAACGAGAAAAAAGACTCGGTGACCAAAGACCAGTAAGTTAGCTGTTGATGCGTCGTCTCAGCCCTGCTAGCTAGAGGAAGAAGTCCAAGCTTGGAATGGGGAGGTATATTCTGCAAACAGCCAAAAACGAGCGATAACAACAAACACAAATCAAAACGTGTATATACAGTACAAAACTGTCCTCAGAGAGAGTTATCAAATAGCATACTAAAAGACGCAACGGACCAATAGTATTTAAGATATTTTCCTGTGGGAAATACAACATGAAGGTGTTAAGAGCGTCTTCGGCGCGAAAATAAAGAAATTCAAATTTTCCAGATAAAATTACAAAATTAAGTCCTTTCTCAAATGAGTTCTGGGGATCTAACGTCCCTAATAAAGATGAGATCGATATCTTGGACTGCAACACTATTACATCGTTGATCTGTCTACCCAATAATATACAGGAGGGAACTTGTCTCAATATAGGTTAAGGCTTTGACACGATAAACTAACTGGTTAAATCTTGAAGTTAGAAAGGGCCTTAGTCAGAGAGATGAAAACCATTCTATCACCTAAATGGTTAACAACCAAGAAAGAGAAGACGAGTTCAATGGAATACTACTCGGTTTATTTCCAATTTTCAATTCAGGTTAGTGCGAGCAGATTCGTGAATAAATAGATGACTAACATGATCACAACCCCACAAACAATTAGAAAAATACAATTATGTTCAAACTAGGCGTTAGGGTAGGAAAATAGAGTAGCAAAGGTGACGTTTAAATTACCATAGCTTTGGAACAGAAAACGGTATAGCAATGAATCATATATCAAACAAAAGCTTATGATGTATTAACTAATCTAAGAACCAAAACAACTGTTAGTGTTTTACAAACTTTGAATTTAGCGAATTATTAAGTGAATTATGAAAACCTCGATATCTGAGAGGAAACACGGAATACAATAGACAACTCGGAATCAATTAGAAGATTTGGACTTCACAGAGAACCTGGCCTTTCTATCACATACACATCAACAAATTCAGATCAAGACAAACAGTGTACCAGAAACTTCAGCATCAATAAGCCTTAAGATTCATAATGGAAAAAGCAAAATCTTCAAATATAACACAGAGAAGAGGTGGAAAGTATCACTTACCTGGGAAACATCATCGATGAAAGTGGAGGGTCTGACGCAGACGTAAAGTCGACGATTGGCAAAACAAGGACAGCATTCCTACAATTGAAGAACATATAGAACTCAAATCAACTGTCAATCAATATCAAAGTCACAATCTTCAATACGAGCGTCAAGACAGTTCTACTGTATGGAGCTGAATCTTCAACAGCTAATAGAACCATCATCAAGAAGATACAAGTATTTGTAAACTGTTGTCTACGCAAGATACTCAATGTCCGTTGAGCGGATACCATCAGCAATAGCCTTCTCTGGGAGAGAACAAACCAACTTCCAACTGAAGAGGAAATTAGGAAAAGACGGTGGAAATGGATAGGACATACATTACGAAAATAACCGAACTACATCACGAGGCAAGTACTAATTTGGAATCGCGGAGGGAAACGGGAAAGAGGTAGATCAAAGAACACACTTCGTCGAGAATTCGAAGCAGATATGTGAATGATAAATAACAACGACAACCTAAGTTGAAAATACATTCAATCTATATATTGATTGGATACTCATTTTGACTATCACTTAGAATAAAATCACACATATCACTTATACTTAACTCATGTTGAGTTAGCATCATAATGAGCAAAAGAATCTATTTTTTCCCATTTAATCCCGTCATATTACATTCTCTTCACTTTTTTTAATGGAATACGTAAGTATAAGTTTTTTTCGTGGAGAGTCTATTTGTACTCTGCGAGATCTCTGCCGACCATAGGGTTGTGTTCCAGCATCTTCTATAATTTGCTCCTTCGTTCAATTCATAAATGATTTTTTGATTGAAATCATGAGTCAATTGAAGCTAGACCACCATGGGAAACCTGAAAGAACTGGACAGCCGTTCTGTTCTAGTATGGGATTTCTCAGCAGTGCTCACCCACGATCCCGCACCCCGCCAGATTCGAACCCAGGACCTATCAGTCTTGCGCCAGGCTCTTGATCAACTAAACCACTGAGCCGGCATTCAATGGTGTTAATATCAACCGTAACCAATCCACGAAATCGCGCGACCATCTTCCATTGTACTGAAGTAGACACCTTTTTCTACCTGACACGGATTAGCTCCACTGGTCAGGGCTTCTAGGACGAAACGGCCATTCAGTGCTTCCAGGTTTTTCATGGTGGTCTAGCTTCAATTAACTCATGATGTCAATCAAAAACTTAACAATCTCCACAACCCCTAAAGTGATCATATATGATTCTTCTTGCCCTCCCCCAACGAAATAATGTCAGTTCTTCATATACTCACGTTACAAATAATGTGAATTTATTGACCTGAACTATCTCAACACTACTAAAACCTTCATTATATGAGAGTATTGAGGTGTGTGGATATACATAATGGTTGAAAGAACCTTTTATATGATCTTGATATGCATGGCTAATGTTAAACATGGTGATTTTCCAACCTTTCATATGAAAAAATTCGATGTCATTATTCTATTCACAATATGAATTGTAAACGGAAGTTGTATTGAGCAAGAATTATAATGGGTTAAAAATGTGATTTCTTTTTCTCATCTTCTTAATATCAACCTTTCATTGTTATTCTCTGTTACAAAATTAATTTCAGGAGGGGTTTTGTGAAGATTGTAGTAATTTCAGTAGTTGAGATCATGAGTCAATTGAAGCTAGGCCAACATGGAATTTCGTGAGGTGCGACCGTGGATGCGCACTGCTGAGGAGTCCCACAAAGGATGAAACAGCTGTCCAGAGCTTCTAGGTTTTCCATTGTGACCTAGCTTCAATTGACTCAGGATCTCAACTATTAAAATTACAGAATTAATTGTTTTATCGGTTCTCATGGAAGTTTGATTTGATTTGACAGTACTCCAATATACTGACATTTACGCTGAATAAATCGTTATATATAGAAGTTGTCACTAAGACTTTAGGAAAATTTGTATCGTTAAAAGATTTAAATCTTATCATAGCCATTTTACCTACTAATATACAAAGATACCTCAATAAACCATTGATTGATATGATAAACAAAATATCTAAATGAATTCGATTTGCTTAGATACAAAAGACCATAGCGGATAAATAGGATGGTGAAATGAAGTTATTAGAACTGTTCCAGTTTGTATGTTAAAGATGACAATACTCAATCACAATAATTACAATAACTGCAATGCTTATGCTTTCACTGTACTACTCATTGATTTATTTGATTGTTTTTATTTGGTTCAATGTACAT